TCAGCAGGATTTCTTTAATCATTCATTCCAGAAATTTAATTCTACTCCTACTTCATTCAGTCCTGATCCTTATATTACACCCATATCCTTATACATTATGTCACGTTCAGTCCAGCCCCATGCATGACCATGACTTTCCCAAGCCTGTTGAGAGATGGAGGAAAGAGGGGACTTGCAATCACTGGACACCTTATTCTGTGCCAGGCCTTGTGCTACGTAAAAACTGAAGCAACTCATTTAATCCTCCCAATAATTATCAGAAGTAGGTGTTATTATATTTCTTCCTATAGGCAAGGAGATTCAGGCTCCATGAGAAGGAAATGAGAGAAAAAATTGGCTGAGAAACAGAGCTTAGCTTCAAAGCTGGAGTAACTGACCCCAGAGGGCTGTGCTCATCAAGGTCCCTGATCAAGCAGCCCACATGGAAGAGGCTGTGGGTCAAACAGTATAGTCTCGGTCCTATAACATCCCACACATTTAGTTATTTACTGGCTGTGTGGCCTCAGGGGCAGGACCTAATGGCTTGGAGCCAAAGCCTCAATTTCATCCTCTGCACAAAGGGAAGAGATGCCTACCTGATAGAATTTCTATGAGGATTTTGACATGCCTGGCACACACTAGTTCCTTTAAAAAAGTGCTAGTGATAATGATGATACTGATGATGGTTTCACTGAGATCAGAAGAAAGATAATCATCATTCAGACTTATACCTAAAACTCTTCCTATAGACAGCTGCAAATGCCTACCAACAGCAGCAGACTTGAGACAGAGCCCATGCCCCAGGAAGACCCTGGCTTGCAAAGATTCAGATTACCTTTGCTTTGTGGATGAGAATTTTTTTTAAGAGATGTTCCCTTTATAAACACATTCAGTGCTGGTTTCCTCAAACACGTCTTCAGAGGAAACTGTTAAAGCTCAAGTTTAAGAAACCAGGAGAGGGCTTACCTGGTGGCACAGTGGTTGACAGTCCGCCTCCCGATGCAGGGGACACGGGCTCGTGCCCCGGACCAGGAGGATCCCAGGTGCCGCGGAGCGGCTGGGCCCGTGAGCCATGGCCGTTGAGCCTGCGCATCCGGAGCCTGTGCTCCGCAACTGAAGAGGCCACAACAGTGAGAGGCCCGCGTACCGCAAAAAAAAAAAAAAAAAGAAACCAGGAGAGATGGGGCAGGCAGGATGATCCCCACAGTACTCTATGTTTCCCATAAACAGATACAGGTTTATAGGTATTCCGTGACCCTTAAGAAAAAGTAGCAATCCGTTGACCTAAGCATTGTGCTAATCGGGGAAGTGATCTGAGAGGAAGTAAAGGACCCAAATCCAATTTAAAAGATATATTAGTTCTACAACCGTTCAGTGTAATTATTATTTATTTAGACATCCCACAGGTGCCATGACTGGGTAATTCTATGTTCTGTTGAGGGTTCAGGAAATGACTGGGGTTTAATGCAGTTTAAACAAGCCGTAACAATCTCCCATTCAGAATGCCGACCACCATCTGGCCTTTCGCTAGGCATCTTAAACGATTTCTCAGGCATAACCACACAACACACTCCCAGGAGGAAGGCGGAGGGAGTGCTCCGTGCATAAGGCAGCTGGAGCCCGCAGAGAACTGGTAACTTGTCTAAAGATCACACAGTTGTTTGAAGGGAATGACAGCAGTAGAATCCACAACTCCCAACCTCAGGCTCAGGCTCAGCCCATTGAGCATGTAAGATGCTCCGATGGCCCCAAGCCACAGCATCCCAGCACTCTGGGAACTAGCACCTGAGGCAGCCATGCAGGGCGGATGGGGCTCAACACCTGGAACTGACAGACCACGACTGAAGATCAAGAAAGGAAGGGATGAACTAACCCATACCCATGAATGTTGTTGTAGGATTACTTTTTTTTTTTTTTTGCGGTACGCGGGTCTTTCACTGCTGTGGCCTCTCCCGTTGCGGAGCACAGGCTCCGGACGCGCAGGCTCAGCGGCCATGGCCCACGGGCCCAGCCGCTCCGCGGCATGTGGGATCTTCCCGGACCGGGGCACGAACCCGTGGTCGCCTGCATCGGCAGGCGGACTCTCAACCACTGCGCCACCAGGGAAGCCCTGTTGTAGGATTACTGACTGTCCTTGCTGCCTACCTCGTAAAATTCTCAGACATCTAGGAAATCTCCTTCGGACATTTTTGAAGGTGAGAAGAGGGCTGCCATCCTCCTCTTTCCTCAGCATACATGCTGCGTCTCCTACGCCCAGGGTGAGGATCAGTATTTCTTCTCCCCACCCTTTGATATTTATGCAACTACCCTACAGTCACCTAAGTTTCAGTTATTCTATCAGCAAATTTGCAATGGATCCCAAATACTGAAGTACTTACTGGTAGTAGTGGTACCACTAATCATACTACCAAGACTGGCAGTTACCAGTCGAGTTATATACACTTGAAATCCTGTGAACCTGAGAGACTTAACTGCATGACGAACAAAAGTAACACTCCACGGAATAACCAACAATCACATCTATGATAAGCTTGAGTTGTTTTTTTCAGCATCATACCTTTGATAGGCATATTCCTACTCATTATTTTAAAACATAATTGTTCCTTTGGCCTCAATAAATGATGCCTCAAGTTTACAGGTCACCTGCTAGATGCAATTTACTAACAGGCTGCTTGCTTCCCCACTCTGTTCCCTCTCTGAGCCTAGCCCCTTGCCACTCACTCCTAACACCTAAGACCCAGCTCAGAGCATAGGTTATGAGAGGCCACGCCCACCTTTGTCCAAACATTAGCGTTGACTTGGTCTCAGCTTCATTGAATACCGAGGGAGAACAGCAAATAACGATGGTGGTTCTACAGTTCCCGCCCAGAGAGTCCTGAAGAATCCGAGTCATCTTGCTGTCCCGGTATGGCACGTGTGTTTTCTATTTAGGAAAAGAAAAAATATTGGCTGTTACAGCCCATTCAAAGAGAAAATACAGAGGCAAGCAAGTTAGTGATGGGAGCTGGGCTTAAAAACATGTGAAAGAAAAACCTGTTGCCTGGTCTTTGGATCTTGCCAAAGTTTAGAATGCCCATTCTGGGACCACCCGGGTCATAGGAAATTAGCATCACCATTCACACATTTTAATGGGCTAGATTTCCAAGCAAGCAGGGCGTCCACAGCCAGGATTCCCCCTGTCCCTTTCTGAACAAAAACAAATGAATCTCTGGGGTGTGTGGCAAAGAGAGTACACGAACCCAAAAGGTGACTTCTCATAATATCATTGAATAGATGGGGACAGGATCACTTACTGTCCCTTCTGCCAAGGCAGAGATCACGTTTCCAAGAGCAGACAAAGACTTATTGATATTTTTAGCTTCGTCGAGAACAGCTCCCTCGGCACCAGTTTTGCTGACCTACCAGAGAGAAGAGAAAACAGTGAGCTGCACAGGACAGCAAAAGCACAGAGGAGAAAATTCCAATTCACAGGAGGGCAAGCAGGGAGGAAAGGACTGACGTGAATCCTCCTGGAAGGCAGGGGAAAATAAAAGTAAGTAAGAATCACGGTGATAAAATCTTCCCTTGTACCTGAGGCTGGGGATTTGTTCTCTCTTGTTGTCATTTTCCTCTCAACTAGGTTTTAGGGGGAACAGCTGAGATGCCTCAAGTGTAGAGCTGCGGATGCTTCCCAGGGGACATTTGTCCAGGGACACCAGGCTCCAAAAGTGCTGTCACTACAGAAAGGCTGGGGTCCTGTGAGACTGAACCACAGTCTCCATGCCCAGGAAGCATTAAGAGAAAACACGGTCCCAGCCACAATGAATGCACTATTTGGAAAGCGTAGATTACAAGCTCCAACTTCAAGCAAAGGACAAGAAGTGGTAGCGATGGTTATCCGGACTCTCTGCTCCTTCCCTTCCTATTCCCATAGCAAGAAAAAAAAAGGAACAATCATCCAAAAGGAAAAATACTCGACAAGACATGTAAGGCAAGAAAATGTATATTACATAGTGAATTTGTCTTTTTTCCTCTGCAGTTAGAGGGACCACACACCATTCCTCCTCGGCTGTGTTATTACTGGTAATTTCCTATTTACAGCATTTGCTCTAGGTAGAAAGCAGTTCACAGATGCTAGAAAAAAGGGAACTCAACGTGATTCATAGCTCTGCTGACTGAACAAACGACACGGCGGGGAGCGGCTGCGCTCTGAAGAAAGAAAGAAAAGCAGGGAAATGATTTTAAACTGTGCGAAGATGGATTTCAATTCTGTATAAAGGAGAAACTCCCAACGACAGAGATGAATGCATGTTCAAGGGGAGATTTTTTCCCAAAGAAAAATTCAAAGATTTCTCTGGAAATCATGTGTGGGTCCCCTGCTTACAGATGAAGAAATCACAGAGCTGCTGTGTCACAAGTATTAATAGTAATAGTCTATTTCACAAGGTGTTGTTTAAGGTGCTTTCACACTTGAGCATCTTAGTTCCATGAAATATGCGAGACAAGTACAATCACCTTCCTTTTACAGACAAGAAAATTTTGAGCTCCAGGGATGTCAAATTGCCCACCCAAGGGAAGAACACCATTTAAGAAAGACAGGACTAAGACCCAGAGCTCTGTCCTACTAGATCACACTGCTACATTCATGCGGACACATCTAGAGCAAGGAAAACAGATGTTAGCACAGGAAATGACGTGCAGGACCACAACTTTAAAATGCCTCATAAACATCATAAGTAATAACCACTGACACTGCACAGGCCTCCACTCTCAACTGCCTGCACTAAGCACTTTTCAGCTGCATTTAGGCCTTAAGTACTCATCTCTGTGCTCTAAAGGGAAAGGGGGCAAGCTTGGGAAGAGGGAAGGGGTCACTGGGAGCTTTGTCTAGACCCATACAACAGGTGCGGCAGCAAAGCAGATGCTAGTTGCTAATGGCTGGTCTAGAAGTGAGCAATGCTGCTCTCTACTCCCCTTCTGGTGGGCATCTGTTTAAAGTTACAAGCCTGGACCAGTTCGATTTTCGACCGCCAACTAGGAGGATACGTGTGATCTGCTCAAGGCTGTACAAACGCGGACAGGAGGACAATCCAAGTAGCCACTACTCACACGGATACTAGTGGCCATAACTTGGCGTCCAGCAACTCAGTGGTGGGAGCAGTAAGTGGGGATCAATGACACAGTTTGGGAGACTGACCGAGCTTCAGGGCCGGCCCTGATGGGGACAGTTAGCATGACATCAGAGATGAGGGAGGCCACATGGTATTGTGCACAGAGACTTGCTCTGTGATGTTGTCTGAGGTGGGCAGTGCCCCCAGCCGGGGTGTGGCAGCAGGAGCCCCTGGTGGTGCTATGGAAGTGAGGATGGGAGGGCAGAGGGGAGTTTCTGGGAAGCCTATTCGGTCTGGAGTATGGCCTCAGCCAGTGCCTGGGAGAGCATGGACAGGGTACAGATGCCAAAAGAAAACCCTCACAAAATCAGAGAAGGGTCAGGGCTTGTGGCTAAAACACTGGCTCCAGACCCCGTAGACTGAAGGCAGTGAGGCTGCCCACACAGAACATGGTCAGTTCACGCCTCCTGCAGAGAGAAGCCGGGAAGGCAGGGAGAGCCCCACTTTCCAGATCTTCTATCAGCAAACAAACCTGCAGAGGCAGGCCTGCCACATTCCAGCGTCAAAGCCCCCTCCTGGCCTATCTGAATCTGTTAAAACACAGAGATCTTTCCTGTTCTCAGAAGTTCACGTCCCTCCAGCATTTGTGCCGCTGCCTTTGCCAGGCTAAGTTCACACCAACACTCGCCTCATGTCATCATCAGGGTCTATTAGGCGTAAATCAGGTTGGCATTCAAAACACCTCCTGTGACATGAATAGGGGACTTCAGGACCAGAAACGAAAGAGCAGAGAAATGAAGGTTAAATTTAATAACATCTTAGCACAACATCAGAAACTTTAAAAGCTCTTTAAAACCAGGGACTAGAAAGACATAAAAATTACCCCAGTGCACACTGAAGCAAATAACGGGGAAATTGTGGATAATACAAATAAAGAACCAATTACCTTTTCGCTCCCAGCCAAATCAACTAGATACAGCTTCCCACTGAGTTTTTTTTCAGTCTCTACATTCTCTTGTTTAATATTAATCAGGAAGATACTGTGACTTCTAGAGCTGTGTTCATTCATGTCTGAAAAGAAAAACAGTTTACTGCTCTACAAAGAACATATAAATTTAGGTAGCAAGCATCTCAATAAAAAGCACAACAAATCATGCCTAATAGCTCCGTTTTTTGTAAGTCCACTCAATTTAAAAAATTACCTGACATCATTTCTCCTGCAAAGCAACGCTCACTCTAGAAATGAAAGATTTAAAACATTTTCACGTGGCAAAGAAATTAATCTAAAAATCGTGGTCAGTGGTTGAAGACAACAGTCTCGAGCTCTGCCTGAAGCCGCCATCCTCCAACACGCCAATCCAGCCTACCTCTCTCCTTGAAGAGCTCAAGTCTTCCTCCCCTGCCTCATTTTAAGTCCCTCAGCCTTTATCATTCTGACTAGTACCTGATGTATTCCATCTTCTTCATGTGTGTAAGCCTTGCCTTATCAGTGATATCATAAGTTTTCTTAAGGAAGAATTATGACTTCCTTAAGGAAGGATTAAGACATACATTTCTTCTATAACCCATGCTAGGCACATAGAAGGTCTCAAAGATGAAATATGCTTCATTAGAACCAAGTACCAAAAATAAAAATCTTCTTGGACCCTGGTCTTTGCTCACCAGGCAGGCAGAGACCCCAGTGACTGTTTTACTCAACCCCACTAGCAATTATTTCTCAAAACTATCTAACCAGATTATGTGGGAAGAAAACCCTAAAAGATTCCACAAAAATGTTAGAACTAGTGAATTTGGCAAAGTTGCAGGATACAAATGCAATACATAAAAATCATTTGCATTGGGCTTCCCTGGTGGCACAGTGGTTGAGAGTCCGCCTGCCAATGCAGGGGACACGGGTTCGTGCCCTGGTCCGGGAAGATCCCACATGCCGCGGAGCAGCTGGGCCTGTGGGCCATGGCCACTGAGCCTGCACGTCCGGAACCTGTGCTCCGCAACGGGAGAGGCCACAACAGTGAGAGGCCCGTGTACCACAAGGGAGAGGCCACAACAGTGAGAAAAAAAAAAAAAAAAAAAAAAAAAAAAAAAAAAATCAGTTGCATTATATATAATAATGAACAATCCAAAGAGGAAATTAAGAAAACAATTCCATTTAAAATTAGAACAAAAAGAATAAAATACTTAGGAATAAACTTAACCAAGGAAGTGAGAGGTATACACTGAAAACGATAAAATGTTGCTAAAAGAAATTAAAGAGTACACAAATAAATGGAAGGATAATCCTTGTTCTTGGATTAAAAGACTTAATATTATTAAGATGTCCATACTACCAACAGATTCAATGCCACCTCTATCAAAGTCACAATGATTTTTTTGCAGAAATAGAAAAGTCCATCCTAAAATTCAGATGAATCTCAAGGGTCCCTGAATAGCCAAAACAATCCTTAAAAAGAGCAGAGTTGAAGTTCTCACACTGGCTGATTTCAAAACTTACTACAAAGCTATGGTAATCAAAACAGTGTGGTATTGTCATAAAGGTAGACATATAGACCAATGAAATAGAGAGCCTAGAAATAAACCCTCACATAATATGGTCAAATAATTTTCAACACGAGTGTCAAGCGTGACCATTCAGGGGCTTCCCTGGTGGCGCAGTGGTTGAGAGTCCGCCTGCCGATGCAGGGGACACGGGTTCGTGCCCTGGTCCGGGAGGATCCCACATGCGTCGGAGCGGCTGGGCCCATGAGCCATGGCCGCGGAGCCTGCGCGTCCGGAGCCTGTGCTCCGCAACGGGAGAGGCCACAACAGTGAGAGTCCCGCGTACCGCAAAAAATAAAATAAAAAATTAAAAAAAAAAGTAGTAAAAAAAAAAAAAGAGTGACCATTCAATGGGGAAAGGACAGTCTCTTCACCAAACTGTAAACTGGATATCCACATGCAAAAATGAAGTTGGACTCTTCCTTTAAGTCATATACAAAATTTAACTCAAAAAGGATCAAAGACCTAAATGTAAAAACTAAAACTATAAAACTTTAGAAGAAAACAGGGGAAAGGTTCATGACACGAGATTTGGCAATGATTTCTTGGATAGTAGTAAAAAAAAAAAGAGTGACCATTCAATGGGGAAAGGACAGTCTCTTCACCAAACTGTAAACTGGATATCCACATGCAAAAATGAAGTTGGACTCTTCCTTTAAGTCATATACAAAATTTAACTCAAAAAGGATCAAAGACCTAAATGTAAAAACTAAAACTATAAAACTTTAGAAGAAAACAGGGGAAAGGTTCATGACACGAGATTTGGCAATGATTTCTTGGATATGACACCAAAAAGCACAAGCAACAACAGCAACAAAAAATATAAATTTAACTTCATCAAAATTAAAAACTTTTGGGCTTCCTTGGTGGCACAGTGGTTGAGAGTCCGCCTGCTGATGCAGGGGACACGGATTCGTGCCCTGGTCCGGGAGGATCCCATATGCCGCGGAGCGGCTGGGCCCGTGAGCCATGGCCGCTGAGCCTGTGCGTCCGGAGCCTGTGCTCCGCAATGGGAGAGGCCACAACAGTGAGAGGCCTGCGTACCGTACCACAAACACAAAAAAAAATTAAAAATTTTTGTGTGTGAAAGGACACTATCAACAGTGAAAAGGTAACCCACAGAATAGAAAATATTTGTATGTCATATATCAGATAAGGGATTGAGATCCAGAATATATAAAGAACTCCTACAAATAAACAACAGCAAAAAGCCAAACAACCCAATTTTTAAAAAATGGGCCAAGGACTTGAATAGCACTTTTACAAAGAAGATGCACAAACAGCCAATAAGCATATGAAAACATGCTAAACATCACTAATCATTAGGGAAATGCAAATCAAAATCTCAACGAGATAGCACTTCACACCCATTAGGATGATGATTAAAAAGAAAAAAAAAACAGAAAATAAGAAGTGTTGGCAAGGATATGGAGATATTAAAACTCTTGCACACTGTTGGTGGGAATATAAAATGGTGCACCTGCTATGGAAAACAGTATGGCTAATCCTTAAAAAATTAAAAGAATTACCGTATGATCCAGCAATTCTACTTCTGGGTATTTACCCAAAAGAACTGAAAGCAGGAACTTGAACAGATATTTATAAATACCTCCATGTTCATAGCAACATCATTCACAATAGCCAAAAGGTAGAAGCAACACAATGTCTATCTGTGGATGAATGGAAAACAAAATGTGGTCTGTGCATACAATGGGACATTATTCAGCCTTAAAAAGGAAGGAAATTCTGACACATGCTACATGGATGAATCTTGAGGACATTATGCTGAGTGAAACATGCACGTCACAAAAGGACTTGTATCATTCCACTTATATACAGTACCTGGAGTTGTCAAATTCACTGATACAGGAAGTAGGGTGGTGGTTACCAGGGGTTGGGAGGAGGGAGTATGGAGGGTTATTATCCAATGGATATGGAGTTTCACTTTGGGATAATTAAAAATTCTGGAAAAAAAATTCTGGAAATAGGAAGTGGTGATGGTTGCAAATATTGTGAATGTACTTAATGCCACTGAATTGTACACTTAAAAGTGATTAAAATGGTAAATTTTATGTTATGCATAATGTAACAAAATTTTTAAAAAAACAAACAACTTACCAGAATGATAAGAAAAATAGTAATGTTCTGGACCAACAGTTCTGAACCAGGGGGCCAAGATGGACTGTCAGGTATGTCATGAATAATTCATAACTAACAATATAGCTTAAGAAACAGTGAAAAACTTCTTTACAAATGAGAGATGCATAAGAAGTCTTATTTCCTATATGCGTATAAGCAGAAGAGAAAGAAGCAGAGTTTAACCGACACTGTATACAGGTCTAGGCTCACCTATGAAACTTGCCATATATATGAATATGATCTGATACATCTGTGGGGGTAGGGAAACAGTTGAGAATTACAGTTCTGGATCAAAGGATCATAGCACCAGTCAACCAAGCAAAGCTACCATGCGGGGAACTCACTACCTCTCCAGGTAGGCTTTACTTGGGGCAGCATTAAGGACTAGAGCTCTTCTTGTGATAGGTTAAAATCTGCCTCCATGTAGCTTCAACAATTCTGGGTGGTCTACTCATTCAGATCAAACAAAGCAAGCTGACTCTCTTTCTTAATGTCAGCACCTTGAAGATATTATGAATATGTTAAGAAACACTGCATTGCCCATATGCCCTCCCCAGATATTTTTCCTCTCTTCAAAGCTAGAAATCCTTCAGGGACTTCCCTGGTGGTCCAGTGGCTAAGACTCCGTGCTCCCAATGCAGGGCGCCTGGGTTCGATCCCTGGTCAGGGAACTAGATCCTGCGTGCCGCAACTGACAGCCTGCATGCTGCAACTAAAAGATCTCACCTGCCGCAACTAAGACCCGGCACAGCCAAATAAATAAATATTAAAAAAAAAAAAAAAGTTAGAAATCCTTCTTTCTTTCAAGTCCTCTTCACATGAACTCACTCTCATCTGTGCACACCTCATCTGAATAAGACAGACAGCCCCCATCTCTTCATGGAAACTCTGCTGCTCTAAACACCACGTGACCTGCTTCCCTGAGATGGGCCGAGGAAGGCATCACAAGGTAAACCAGCTGACCTGACTATGTTTGTTACCAAGAAGGCATCACAAAGTTTACAGTCAAGCTCCTGTTCCTCTATGTCTTTCTTTTCCTTGTTTACAAAGGGCAGAAATCTAACATGGTTTCTTTCCATGCGTATGACTGGCCTATGGAATCTGTTGGTTTGGATTTTTTTAAACAATAACATAGTTAAAATAAATGAACTTAGAAGCTTACTTTCTTCCCCCTTTAGTTGGTTGGTTGGTTGTTTACCCCAGTGTTCAGGCTTAGGCTGTTACCAGGGCCCAGTCAGTGAGCGTCACCCGACGTTTCCAACAGGCCCCTGGACAGCAGGAGGTGCTGTTTCCCAGGACCTGCCCAGGCCTGCTGGTACTGCTTACACCCCTGTGTTTTGAGTGCCAGTCACCGCTTTACAACCGCCTTCCCCTGCATTATTCCATTTGGACCTCATTACCGCCACCCAACCTGGTTGGTAGGCAGAGACGTTTGTGTCCTAAGTTAGAGGGGAGGAAACACCACCCCAGGCTTACTCGTTACAGCCACGTGGCGGTTTGCTTTGCCTTCATCTATCACGTCCATGACCTCCTCGGGGCTTGACACAAACCGCTCGGTGCACCCCTGCAAGACAGCCAGATCAGGTTGGTCATGGAAAAACTGAAAAGCAACATGACTTTGAAACAGCTAAACATTTTCCCACTTCTCTTCTAGAGCTGCCAATCCAGAGAAAGGCTGCACTGTCGACCCAACAACTTTTCCTCCTCGCCTAGGGCTTGCAGAGTACTTTAAAAATAAGTCTGGGGCTTCCCTGGTGGCGCAGTGGTTGAGGGTCCGCCTGCCGATGCAGGGGACATGGGTTCGTGCCCCGGTCCGGGAAGATCCCACATGCCGCGGAGCGGCTGGGCCTGTGAGACAATGCCACTGAGCCTGCGCGTCCGGAGCCTGTGCTCCGCAACGGGAGAGGCCACAACAGTGAGAGGCCCGCGTACCGCCAAAAAGAAAAAAGAAAAAAAAAAGTCTGAGCAAACGCTAGGAAACCCAGAAGTAAACCATAAAATAAATGCCAGATTTTAAGTACATATCCATACTCATCAGCAGTGGAGACAGAAAATAAAGAAGGAAACCAGTGATGGAAAAAGAAATGGATGAAATCTTGCTTTGCCTTTCAATCTATCCACCAACTTTAATTAGATACTGAAGTTGTAGACATAATGCTATGAAAGGTTTCTCCTAAGTGCAAAATATGAACAACTGTACTCAATACCAAAGCCTCTTTAAATGTGAATAATAAATGTTCAGTTCTCCAGTTCTTACCTCACGTGATTTGACATCTGTGATATACTTACATAGAAACAACTGAAGAAATTAAAAGTCAGTTTTTTTAACCAGATGAATATTAAATATAAGGAACATGATTAAATATCTATATGCACTTTTTAGGTAATATTCTGGGCATCTTATGTAATAATTATGACAGTGACTGGAGAGAAATCAATTGCATCATCAATCAAGTTTTCCTCATACCTTTACGTACGGGACTCTGTTTTTATCTTCATGAACAGCCAAGTTTGTCTTGGATACTACAGAGATGATAATGATGACATGCAAAGAAGAAAACAAAAGTTAAAGACCCTGTATTGGAGAAAAAATAGAAATTGTTACAGAAGATAGGTAAATCTAATCACTTTGCAATGACTCAAGTTAAAGCTTTGGCTGAGAATAAGCAGATAGCCTGAAGGCAACAGAACATCTCTATAAATTCCTTAAGCAGAAGTGCTGTACATCATGCCAACCTTTCTGGACTTCAGTTACAGAACAAATAAAAGACAAGAATTCGGGTTACTCACCATCGAGTAAGTCCCTGATTTTGTCCAGGTAGATTTCAAAATAGGAAACCTGATTAAAAACAAATTGATTTTGAAACAGAAATGCCACCCTGTATTTCAAAAACATCATTATTAGAACTCGTAAAAGCTTTCTGTTATGCCACCAAGAGTAAGAAGAGCTCTACAAAGTGAAGATTCAGAGTCTAGAGGGTGGAGCCCCAGCCCACTCCCCTGGCCTCCTGCTTCCTGCTTGTCAGCTTGCTCTACAAGTCCCTGCTCAATGGGCCACTCTCCATCCCCACATCAGAGCTGCCTTCACTTCCAGCCAGGTGTTATTTACATCCTGTGCTAGACAGCCTTATAGGAGGACTCTACCTTTTCACCTTAGATGAGCACCAAGCAAACTTCTAGGTATGACAACAGCTAGAACAGAACATGTCCTTTGCAAGTAACTGTCAAAAATCAGTAGACCTGGGGCTTCCCTGGTGGCACAGCGGTTGGGAGTCCGCCTGCCGATGCAGGGGACGCGGGTTCGTGCCCTGGTCCGGGAGGATCCCACATGCCGCGGAGCGGCTGGGCCCGTGAGCCATGGCCGCTGAGCCTGCGCGTCCAGAGCCTGTGCTCCGCAGCGGGAGAGGCCACAACAGTGAGAGGCCCGCGTACCCGCAAAAAAAAACAAAAACAAATCAGTAGACCTCACCTCAGACATGACATTAACAGCCTCTTCAGACCAGGGAGGGAGCATGTTCCAAACATTCACATGAAGAAGGTGGGGAGGGGGATAAGGGCAGTTTGCTTGGAACTACAGAACAGTAACAGGGAGAGAGCTGGTGATAGTGGCCAGCTTTGGGGAGTCCAGGAAGGATTTGAACAAAATGCAATTTAATGAAACACAACTAGACTGTAAGAGGGAAAGGATACCTTCCAATTAGTTATTCTCAAACTTCAGTCCCAGCACTGCCTGTGTCAGCATCTCCCATAGCGTCTATTTAAATTGCCCTGAATCCTACTGCAATCCTCCTGAATCAGAATCTCCAAGAATAGGATTTAGGAATCCGCTTCTAAACTCCCCAGGTGATTCTTATCTTATCTCAGGCTGATATCTGAGAACAACTTTAACTGGATACGTGATCTTGAGGATTTAATTCACAAGTAACCAAGACCCTAGACCTCAATGTTCCCATCTGTCAAACGAAGCCATTCGACGTGATGATATCAAAAATTCCCTCTAGGATTCTGTACTGTCTACACTTGCCTTCTGCAGACCAGATCAACTGTCCTCTCCCTCAAGTTCATGGGTTTTTTTTTTTTAAATCTAAACAGAGGATTGAGCCAAAACGGTGTTTTAAAAGTTGAAAAGTAGTTGTAAAGTTGGGATGTAACTCTACCTGTGAAATCTCACCCCTACATCCCAGCTCTGGACGGGTCCTGCCTCGAGGCAGGGGAGAGTGAACACTCCCTAACCCAGCACTAGTCCCAACCCAACTCAGCCCTGGTTCATTATCTTTTGTCCGTGTCTCAGCCTGGAACCTCCTGATGCCTCGTTTCTCTGAGATCTGGGGTCCTGGCTTCAATCCCTGGAATCTGTAGCTGAGCATCCTCTCCCTAACAACCTCTGCCTGCTTGAATGTCTGTCAAACAGTCCTGTCACTGACCCTCTCTGTCACAGATACAATTACCTGACCTTTGAAAGACCTATTGCTCTGGAAACCTCTCTCTATGGCTGGAATCCTAGGGTCTGCTTGACCTCTAACCCTAGACATTTCTAACCCAGCCCTTCTGCAGCCCACTCAACCCTGGTTCCAACCCATTCTATATATTTCAGAATTGTCTGGTCTTCATTAAGACTTCTCTGTTATCTTTGATATCTTAAGCTTGTGCCCTTATTTCCATAGGTTACAGAGAAAATTAATGACATCCAAAGACCGGTTGTGAACTAGATATTAGGAAATCTGGCAGTTAGAATCTTGTTCATTTAATATAAGTAGAAGGAGAATTCTGATTTATTAGTTTCTTTTTACCATAGCAGATAGTGGCTGCTTTGGGGTGGGGGGTTGAATTTTGTTATTTTTGTCACCTCAAGTACTTTGTAAAACCACATGGAAGAAAAATAAATAAGCATTGTTTGGCACTAGGAGAAAGCATGTTCAAAAATAATGTTTAAAACCTCCGTGAGACCGGTCAGAATGGCCATCATCAAAAAATCTACAAACAATAAATGCTGGAGAGGGTGTGGAGAAAAGGGAACCCTCTTGCACTGTTGGTGGGAATGTAAATTGATACAGCCACTATAGAGAACAGTATGGAGGTTCCTTAAAAAACTAAAAATAGAGCCACCATATAACCCAGCAATCCCACTCTCGGGGCATATACCCTGAGAATACCATAATTCAAAGAGTCATGTACCACAGTGTTCATTGCAGCATTATATACGATAGCCAGGACATGGAAGCAACCTAAGTGTCCATCGACAGATGAATGGATAAAGAAGATGTGGCACATATATACAATGGAATATTACTCAGCCATAAAAAGAACTGAAATTGTTATTTGTAGTGAGGTGGATGGACCTAGAGACTCATACAGAGAGAAGTCAGAAAGAGAAAAACAAATCCCGTATGCTAACACGTATATATGGAATCTTAAAAAAAAAAAAAAAAAAAAGGTTATGAAGAACCTAGGGGCAGGACAGGAATAAAGACACAGACGTAGAGAATGGACTTGAGGACACAGGGAGCGGGAAGGGTAAGCTGGGACGAAGTGAGAGAGTGGCACGGACATATATACACTACCAAATGTAAAATAGCTAGCTAGTGGGAAGCAGCCGCATAGCACAGGGAGATCAGCTCGGTGCTTTGTGACCACCTAGAGGGATGGGATAGAGAAGATGGGAGGGAGAGGCAAGAAGGAGAGGATATGGGGATATATGTATGCATATAGCTGGTTCACTTTGTTACACAGCAGAAACTAACACAACATTGTAAAGCAATTATACTCCAATAAAGATGTAAAAATAAATAAATAAAAAAAACCTCTGTGAGACTCACTTTAAGGAACAGATTTTCAACATTGCCTTAATCAAGCCTCTTTTTCTTGACTGAGCCTGTCACTACTCAGTTCAAAATAAGAAGTCAATAACGAACTTGCTCATTTACAATTATTATTTGTGAAATAAGACAGCCTAACTACAAATGCAGAACAGGAAACTGGACTATAAAATTCAGGCCTAGACATGAGTGTTCTTCCTCCTCTCCTTCCCCTTCATGCTGGGGCTATTTTTATCTTATTAAGATTCTAATATGAGACCTTATTTTGAGGGCAATAATTGGTTTAACATCTTACTCTAGGATTATCCCATGAGAGCCCTACAGTGGTTTAAGGTATTTAAATGCAAACAGCCTAAAAGATGCACTAAGCTCCCAAATCTTGATCCCATCAAAGCAACAAGTGTCTGTATCCTCAGATATAAAAAACTCTATAGCAAGGAGGAGAAGCTGGCTTCAGCCAACAAGAGGAGCTGTAAAGAAAAAGATTTACCGGATGTACTTTATAATTGGGCAAACAGTTTCTGACTTGTTTAAATATAATTTGGGGAAGGTACACAGCAGAAATAAGTAGAGGTGGAAATTTAATATAATGGAACAGGTGCTGCACGTGGGGTCGGTCAGATCAAGAATCTAAATCTCAACTCTGGGGCTTCCCTGGTGGCGCAGTGGTTAAGCATCCGCCTGCCAATGCAGGGGACACGGGTTCAAGCCCTGGTCCGGGAAGATCCCACATGCCACAGAGTAACTCAACCCACGTGCCACAACTACTGAGCCTGCGCTCTAGAGCCCGCGAGCCACAACTACTGAAGCCCTTGCGCTTAGAGCCCGTGCTCTGCAACAAGAGAAACCACTGCAGTGAGAAGCCCGTGCACCCCAACGAAGAGTAGCCCCCGCTCACCACAACTAGAGACAGCCGCGCGTCGCAACGAAGACCCACCCAACGCAGCCAAAATTAATTAATTAAATTAATTAATTAAATCAATAAATCTCAACTCTGCCGAGGACTTGATATGTCACTTTGGCCATCTGGCTCTATATCCATGAACTTCAGTTTCTCACCTCTAAAATGATGGGCCTAGGCACCTGGGTCCCAGCCTTCAAGGATGATCAGCCTCTTGGTTGATCTGCTCACCTCCAAGTCTGCTAACTGCGCCTTTCTCCTCCACCCCCTTGTCAACCCCGTCCCCAGCCACGTGTATCCTGGACACAGCTGATCGGAGCTGGGGGCAGGGGGTACCTACTGGAGGCTGGGCCAGTGGTCCCCTCCCCAGGGCAATGATGAATTGGAAATAAGGGAATGTGGAGCAGGAGCTGCCATGCACCCTCTTTCCCATACACAGAAAAGAGAAAGATGGTCTGGAACAAGGGAAAAAAATTAAGCAAGAGGGTGGGGATTAAAGAAATTAAGAAATGTGGGGACTGTAATGGAGATGGAGTTACTTTTGGGGGTAGTGAAAATGTTCTGGAAGTAAATAGTGATCATCGTTGTAAAATTTTGAAGATATACTAAAAACCATCAAACTGTACACTTTAAAAAGGTTAAATTTATGGTATGTGAACTATATTGCAATATTTTTTAAGTTAAAAAAAAAAAAAAGGAAAAGCAGAGCCTGGATTTCTTACTTCTCCACAACTCCCCGCCCCCATGCCTGCTGTCAGATTCTGTATCTTATAACAACTTCCTCTATTTGCTTAAACAAGTAGCTTTCAGTCACTTGCAAACAAAGGCGTTCCAATGAATATACCCCTTCTACCAAATGTTATGAATTCACAGCTATAGTTGAGAGTAGAAATCTCTCTTTCAATTCAAATTTAAGCCAGAACATAGGTTTGAAAAACAAAAACAAACACAAGGATGAAAAGAATTCCCTTTCCTAACATTTCTCAGAAAGCGCTCCTCAAAATACTAGTCTGTCATCCTCCAAGGAGGGTAAAGTATGTCCACAGTCAAATAAGATAGGAAATGTAATATAGTACATGTCCACTTTGCAGAACTGCATTACACGTTAGCATATTTAAGCTTGGGGTAAGTTTAACATTGTTCAGCAAAGCATTTTCCCAGCTAATTTGACCACATACACCTTTTCCATCGTAGCCCACTGAGTAATAATATGAGGGATTGTATTCTATGGAACACATTTTGGGAAATGCTGTCCTCACCCAATCATGGACACAGGCCAGTCAGATCTACAGAAATCCACAGGGTAAAGGGTAGAATTCAGACAACTACCAAGATGATTCCATCCTAAAAAGGGCTTTGCCTTTATCTCACTATTTCCTCAGTATTAGCCTGAGTCATTAACTAATAAATATGGTTCTGCTGATCACAGGAATGTCATTTAAATTAGATAAAATCTTCTGTGTATACATAAAAGAGGAAGGCAAAGAAACACGATCTGCAGCTCAGTTTCTCCTCTTGGGACTCAATAATAGCACTTACCTTGATGTGGAACTCCAGGTTCTCGTCCATGGAATAGATGTGGTCAAAGATGTCGTGTGCGATCCTTGGGATGATGCCCATGAGTTGAGGGTCATGTAGCTTCCCCTAGTGAGTGAAAAAGACAAACACAGGGAGCTAAAGAGTGCTGGGCGACACGTGAGAGGGAGAGAAGGGGCCGAACCTGGGCTTCTTAAACAGGACTCCGTGGAACAGGGAGCACCACGCAGGACTGCCTGCTCCCTAGGGGGTCTACCCGACCTGCCAACAGACCGACAGTTAGCGGGGTAACTCAACCAGGCAGGGGAGAGCATGTCCTGCTGGCCTTGAAGGCCCCCAACGTCCCCTCGTGCTGTCACTGCGGGCAGCAGATCAGTGTCTATGCGGGTGAGCGTGTGGGTAGGAAGGAGGGAAAGGGAGAAAGAATGAGGTTACGTGTGTGACTGTAACATACTAAATGTGGGCTTTGTTTTGGAAATTTTACAAACTGACCAGGACCTACAAATCCAAGTTAATCTGCCTTAATGAAATCACCTTGAGAGCTGATAGATACAGTTTCATTCACATCATCGTTGCTCAAAAATTTCTAAGAAAACTCATTCTGGAAATACCTTCAGTAGCACTTGACACACCAATCAAGAAAATCCATTTTATCGACTTTTTTTAAAATCTGTAATTCCCAGCCCAAACTGTTCCAAATAATTTTTGACTGTTTCCAATACATAAATCTGCTTATAAAATATTCTCTTATTCTTTCCCGGCCTTTTTCCATTTCTATTCATTTTACCTAAGGTGTGGATGGAAAGGTGAATGTTTCTGTTATTTGGACGATCACTAAATCCATTTTCAAGATCCAGAATTTGCCACCTCTGAAGAGTTTCAAAAAGAGACAGCATAGGACCTGAAAGCAATTCCTAAGAAGAATTCTAGAAGTGTTTCAAGCAACAGGCTTAACAAGAACCTCGGTGCACAACTCCCAGACAGCCTTCTTCACGCCCACACCAAATGAACACTTAAAAGTTCTATCACGGGTTAAACAACCCGTCGGCATACAGACACACGTCTAAAGTGACTGCCGGCAACTGTCTTCCCAGAGAATCACACACGCCTTTCAGAAGTTCTAAAACTCTAGGAAGAAATGGAACTGGAAGCAACGCCAGTCTGCTCTTTTGTTTTCCAGGGATGCTCAACAGCCTTTACAACTTTGACACATACATCTTTGTTCAAAATCTGCCCAATACCTGCAAGATCGGCTTTGTTTTCCTCAGTCAAGTCCTCTTTTTCCTTTCAGAGGTTCACTGCCTGGTGCTTCTCTAACAAGATGACTTCTGAGCCAACATCTGAGTTACCAAAAGCAAGAAGGTGCATGAACCCTGGCACTGACTACAGGCCACAGAGCACTTTCCATTATGAGTCCTCCTTCACGCACCTGATTCCCGACCTTCCACTCTGTTCAAAGCAAGAGAAAAGCCAAATTCAGACACATCTGGCCTCTGGCTCTTACTTGGAAAACAGGTACTCTTCTGGAATGCCTCATCTGCCAAGGACCCTAAATCATTTGATGTGTTTCTATTGTTTTTTAGTTTAACTGTACACTCCCTAAAGGCAGGGTGGCCAGTGCATATGTATTTCCTCACACTGCTTATGATACTTGGTATAGTATCTACTGCATAGAATTACTGTAGAATTTAAATTAAACAGGGCTTCCCTGATGGCGCAGTGGTTCAGAGTCTACCTGCCAATGCAGGAGATGCAGGTCCGTGCCCCGGTCCGGGAAGATCCTACATGCCGCGGAGCGGCTGGGCCCGTGAGCCATGGCTGCTGAGCCTGTGCGTCCGGAGCCTGTGCTCCGCAATGGGAGAGGCCACAACAGTGAGAGGCCCGCGTATCACAAAATAAATAAATAAATAAATTAATTAATTAATTAATTAAACAGTATATATAATGTGCTTAGTGACAATAAATGTTATTATTCAGCTCATAATACACTCTCTCAAGAAGTTGCTGGGGTTTACTTGACTTGAAGAGTCTGAAAACATGTTTCCACCCCAAACCATTAATACATATATCTAATGAAAACAAAACCAAATCACTGAGACTTCACTTCTCCTAGATCATCACAAAACATGTAACAAATCAAATATTGGACCCCATCTGCTCTGGACTATGGAATTTGCTGGCAGAAATGGTACCTACAGTGAAAACACAGTCAAATGTGACACCACTGGGCCAATCTGACACAAGAGGGTCCAAAGAGTGCCCTCCACGCTGCCACCCAGAGCTCTTTAATAATTCATCATAATCCTTTAGCTTCTCTTCAGTGGCCCACAGCCAAAGAAGAATGATCAATAATCCAAAAATCATTTATAATTGACTCAAATCTGTTTCCCTAGATGCTTTCCCTTTCAACGGATTTATCTTCCAATTGATTCTGGGTGCACACAAGTATTGACATCCTTTGTTTGCCTTTGGCAGGGTAAGAATCAAGGCAGAGCCAGGATGAGTCTGGACACTTCCTGTTTTGTTGCCCTGAAGACCCAACCCAAAAATCACATGACAAGGAGCACAATTCATTTGGAGAACACCTAATAATACCCCCATCCCCACAGTGACAGAGGGATGTCCAAGTCTACCACAGGTTTAGGGGCTGGGATGCCTGCTCTAGCTCATAAACCCAAGAGTGTGAGGGCCTTTATGCTCAGTAAACAAAGCCTGCCAAAACAATGTGTGAGGGCTTCCCTGGTGGCGCAGTGGTTGAGAGTCTGCCTGCCTGCCGATGCAGGGGACACGGGTTCGTGCCCCAGTCCGGGAAGATCCCACGTGCCGTGGGGCGGCTGGGCCCGTGAAACCATGGCCGCTGAGCCCGCGCGTCCGGAGCCTGTGCTCCGCAACGGGAGAGGCCACAACAGTGAGAGGCCCGCATACCGCA